TCATGTAATTTTGCACTGGCTTGCTCAAAGATTCACTTTCATAAGCAATGACGTGTTCTACGCATGAGTCATTGGGTTGTAAAAAAATTGCTCCTAGGCGGTAGCCGCTAGCGTCTGTCTGGGGAATGTTGGCGGAGATGTTGTTGAAGTGTCGGAGAATAAGATCGGAAGTCAGGGTTGCTTTTAAGAATGTAAAAGCAGATTCGCACTCAGGAGACCAAATAAAGGTGGAATTGTTCTTAAGAAGGTGGAGCGGTGATTGTTGCAAAGCCGCGAATAAAACGACGGAAGTACGACGACAGACCTAGAAAGCTTCATTTATGGTGAAAAACAGTTTAAAAACAAAGACGACGAGAAGGAACAAATACAACAGGACGAAGCTGTACTCGCAACTGAAGTTTAAATAGTGAAAAAGATTAGAGGAAACCACACATGCACAACAAATAACAGACACCAACAACAACAACCATCTGCTCATCAATCAAGCACAATACTAACATAAGTGCTCAGTAACCTCAAAAACCACTTTTCATGTTCGCTTGCAAAAACCCCTTTATCAGACAAAGCCAGCGACGGCTATGGCTTCGTCCTGTCGTCTTTCTACAGCTTCGTCCTGTCGTGTTTGTTGTACAGCCTCGTCCTGTCCTGTTTGTTCCTTCTCGTCGTCTTCGTTTTTGATTGAAACCTTAGACTGTGGTTTGAAAAACGGAAACTCGTGAAGTAGGAAGAAAAAGGAACAGACAACGTCTCAAGTACGAAGAAGTAGAAAGAAAAAGGGAGAGACATTTGTCTGGGTCCCTTTTTCTTCCTACTTCGCGAGTTTCCGTTTTTCAAACCGCAGTGTCAGGTTTCAATCATGTATAACTTACACCAGCTCGCCTGCACTTTTACCATTTTTTTCGTTTTTAGCTGTTTTTCACCATGAATAACGTATACCAACTTACCCAAATCGCTACCTTAGTACTAGAAAGCTTCGCAATTTCTTTTGGTGTTGTGGTCGAGGGAAGTCTGAGCCGCTTTTATTTCATCGGCGTGAGGCCTGACACCGTATCTGCTGACGACGTGCCCTAAGATATTAATTGTTTTAGCCGCAACAGTGCATTTCTTAGTATTAAGCTGAAGGTTGGCGTCAGACAAAGAGGGCAGACCTGGGAGAGCCGTTCGAGGTGTTCCTCAAAGTTGGAAGAGAAGATTATAATGTAATCTAAGTAACATAGGTATGTTTTCGATTTCAAGCCTCGAATGATATTGTCGATAATGTGTTCGAAAGTAGCTGGCGCGTTGCAGAGTCCGAAGCGCATGACGTTGAACTCATGTAAGCCATCTGGTGTGACGAAAGCGTTTTTTTCTTTGTCCTCTTCGTTAACCGGGATCTGCCAATAACCGGACCGTAAATCAAGAGATGAAAAATATTCAGCTTCCTGCAAGGAGTCCAGTGCGTCGTCAGTTCGTGGCATAGGGTAAATGTCTTTACAAGGGATTTTTTTCAGTACACGGTAATCGATTCAAAAGCAAAAACCTTCATCCTTCGTTTTGACCAGGACTACCGGTGACGAGAATGAACTGCGTGAATGACGAATTAAACCATTTGTTAGCATATCGGTGACATTGTCTTCGATCACAGAACGCTCTGATGAAGAAACATTGTCATGCGCTTGTCTCCACCACGCTGTACCTTTCTGCGCCGGTGCAGGCTGCTGCAGGTAAATCGAATGAATCCACTGATTATAATTGCGGTTTGTTACCTTATTTGCCGATTCCTGATTCACTGCGAGACTGGCGGTATTGTAAACTCAAACATTATATAGAACGGTCATTTGTTTGGCCAGTTATATATACTTCCACTATAATTCGTTCACGATATAAGAATATTGTTACCTGATGACACAATGGCGGAAAACAATTTTTTTGACGGGTTCAAAAGCTCAGAAAATCTATGCACTAAAGGAATTGTCCTTATAGTTGTGCGAAGGCTACAGAGATTTGTTTTTGAAGCACAAATATATAATTTCATTTCATTTCATTTATTGGTACCCTCAGGGCCCGAAGGCATTACAGAGGGGGTGGGATTATTACGTACAAGTTAATAGAACACTCAAATCACGAATCAAATTCTACTAGTATGGACACAGCATATTTTAAATCAACAGGATTAACAATTGTGGCAATGGATGTGGAAAGGTGATTCCAGTCAGCAGACGTACGAGGTATGAATGATCTGTAGTAGGTACTAGTGTGGCACTGTGGAATTTCGACTTTGTGTATGTGATCATTACGTGATGATATGTAGGGTGGCTTCAGTAAGGGTGCAGTCTTAAGGATTGGGTTGTAAAAAATATTTTCTGAAATAAACTTAATCGATAAAACTTTCGGCGTAAAGAAAGAGTTGGCAAGGATAGGCATTTTTTCATAGAGGTTATGCTTGAAGTACCATGGCAATTAGAAAGAATGAAACGCGCAGATCTATTCTGGACAGCTTCCAAGGCGCCGACGAGGCTCTCAGTGTTAGGATCCCAACAGCAGAAGCGTAATCAAGTTTTGGCCGGACTAGTATTCTAAAGAAAAAGAGTTTCAAGCTCGAGGGAGTCTTGAAAAAATTACGTTTTAGATAGCCAAGCATGCGGTTGGCATTGGAAATGACATGGTGAACATGCGATTCCCATGGGAGATTAGATGTGATGTGAACGCCCCGATATTTGTAAGTGTCAACCCGCTCTAAATTTATATTATGAAGGATATAGGAAGGAGGATTGTTAAATCGCCTGGAAATTATCATGCGTTTACATTTGTCAACATTTAATGACATGTGCCAAGTTTCACACCAACTTGATATGGAATCGAGATCATTTTGAAGAAGTAAGATGTCAGAAATGTTAACAATTTCGCCGATATACAACACAATCATCTGCAAATAAACAAATAGAAGAGTTGACATCCAATGATAAGTCATTAATGAAAATGAGAAAGAGAAGAGGGCCAAGCACAAATTCCTGAGGTACTCCGGACGTTACTGAAACTTTGGACGAGTCGGTATTATTACAATTTACAAACTGAAGGATTAGTCAGAAATGAGTGAATCCACAAAAGTACATGGTGTTCAATGTTGAGTTTGAGAAGCTTAAGAAGAAGAAGGTTATGAGAGACCCTGTCAAACGCTTTGGAGAAGTCCAGAAAAACACTGTCAATTCGGGAACCACGATCTAGAACCTGAGGGAAATCATTTGTTAGTCTTACAAGTTGCGTCTGTTGAAGTTGAAGTTGAAGAATGAATTAGATTCAAGAAAATTAACCAGATTAGAATAAATTATATGTTCTATCGTTTTACAACAAATACTTACGAGTGAAATGAGTCTAAAGTTATAAGGGGAATGTTTGTCTCCAGTCTTGTGTAGTGGAATCACCCTTCCAGTTTTCCAGTCGTCTGGAAGCTGACCTAGTGAAAGAGATTTCTCAAATAGTTTAGACAAAACGATTGATGTATATTCTTTTGCATTCTTTAAAAACTTTGAATTAATACTGTCAACACGAGATGACGATGACTGCTTAGCTGACTACATAATTTTTAAAATGCCACTCACACCAATGACAATTGGATTCATGGGGAAAATGTCATATGAAGAATATGATGGACAAAATGGATAAGTAACATTATTAAATACACTAGAAAACATGTCATTGAGAATAGTCGAACACAATGAATCGGGAATCATTTCACCGGACTCATTTTTAAGTGAAAGGGAACGCTCAACACGGAATTCTTTACACTCCAAAATTGTTTAGGATTATTGATTAGCATAGATGGGAGGCATTCATTAAAAAAGTAATCTTAGTCTCCCCGGCTGCTTTTTTGTATTCATTGGCTGCGAGATCATAACGTTGCCAGCATTCCTTCGAGTCAATGCGCTTTGCGTTTCTGAACAAACGTTACTTTTTATTTGAGAGCCTTCGGAGTTGAGAAGTGAACCAAGGAGACTGAGTGTTTGTTATAATTGAGCGTAATGGAATGTGCTCATTAAATAAAGAAATGGCTTTGTTCTTATATAAATCCCTATTGGTTTGAACGGAACGCTCGCAAAACGTTGGCAAAAAGTCCTCCAAAAAACAGCACAGACCTTTACTAATCGCTGCGTAGTTGGCCCTTTTGTAAATTAAGTAAATTATTTACAATTTAAACTTCCAGCGGAACCGGTCAACGTCTGGAGTCAATGTTACAGAATAAATTTACACTGAAAAGCTACCCTGGACCGTAGAAATGTGAAAGCAAAGAGGTGTCGGGCGGTAGTTATGTAAATAAAGAACATGAGCGAAGGTTTGAGTTTTCTTGATTTATGTGTTGATGTGCTTAAGACTGTCGTGCCGTCATAGGTGATGATAACAACGTGTTTGCTTGTATAAAGAAGCGAGTTCTGCACACTCCTATTTACGCGGATATAGATGTTGGGAGACATTTGAACTAACTATATACTTTAATAGATGATGTAGTGAATAAATACACAAACCAACGCTTGGGATGACGCTGAAGTTCAAGTATAAACCTGCACCATTAGTGGGGTGCTTCTTTGTTTCAAACGTTCTTGGTTGCATTATTATCAGGAGTTAGTGAAACATTGCCTATATTGGTTACTATCTATGACTAACCGAAAAAACGCAGAATATTTACGCCTTCGACCCAGAACCCGCACGTTTCGCTAACTTTAACGCTGCACAGTAATCCTAAGCGACCAATTTAAGATCGTACCACTGGAAGCTTGGGATATAACAGCAGATGTTCAAATGCTTCTTTATTGAGTTTTAAAAGTAATTTGAATAAAACGTTTTATACGCTGGGCCGGCGAGGGAGATATAATTATAAAAATAGGTTATTTGTTTAAGATGGGCTCTTGAGACTTCGTGCACTCCATGCTTTATGCTTCTTGCGTCCTCTTGAAATGTTGTTAGCGATTACTGAAGCGACCTCGCCATGGATTAATGAAAAACGCTGCCACGGCTCTGTCCTAAAGGAAGGCTCCAGAAGACAGGCGCCATGTCCCTCTTGGCCGTGTCGACTTTTCTGGTGGCCGTCGCCTTCCTGCTGTCCTTGCTGTGGGTTCTCAAAAGACGCCACGAGCATAGCCTCTTCCGTAGACACGGGATACCAGGACCGCAACCGGACCTCATTTTCGGAAACTGGGACCAGCTCAGGGTGAATCGACTTCAGGTAAGACGCGTTCCACCGGCCAATTAAAGGATTGCGTGAATTTTGATGCGGTCCTTAGTGTCTTTGAAATTTTATGTCTACAGTAGGTGAAATGTATTATAAAACGAGAATAATGTCTGTTTAAGTTAACGATATCTGCTGGCCCAATCCACAATTCAAAACAGTATAGTATATATATATATATATCAGTGTGTCGAAACGAAAAAAATACGGGTTCGGTTACGGTTCAGGTTCAGGTAAATTTATTTTGTTCCGGTTCAGTTCCGGTTCGATTAATTCGATCCGCGAACCGGTTCGCGAACCGGTTCGGGGCGCTGAACCGGTTCGCGAACCGGTTCGGAAATTATAAATAACAAATTTCAACATCAAAATAAATTACAAATAAAACATCTGAAATCAGCACATACGAAACGGGATACATCGTAGTGTAAGGCTCAGGGATTTCTACCAGGAATGTTTTTTTTTATGTGCACTCAAAGGTTACCTCACCGACGTTTACGCATTATCAAACTCCACAGCCTTTTCTTTTCTCATTCCGATGGAAGCAAGCTTCAAGAACTCGCGCGTTCTAGAAACATGTTATGAAATGAGCACACAGCAGCATTTAGGATTTACGAGATTGTAATAAAATAAAACCCCGTGACGCGATTTTTTTTTTTTTTTTTTGCACAGCCTTTTAATTCTTTTTCTTCCGTGCAAGCCGCGACCAGCGCAATACTGGCTCCTATGTCAAGATTCATGGATGCAGCGTTTGTCAAGATTCATGGATGCAGCGTTTATATTCCTAAGACTGAGTGGAGAAGAAAAATATGTAAGCGAGGTGTGTGTCAGTTGACGGCACTTATTGTCAACAGCGCGTGGCCGAACCGTTTTGACATGAGCCGGTAACCGTTATTTTTTTTTTCCGGTTCAGTTCCGGTTCGGGTTCATCAAGATAACAATATAACGGTTCGGTTTTGGGTTCAGTTCCGGAAAAGATACCGGTTCGGTTCCGGTTTTCGGTTCGGTTCGGTTCCGGTTCGACACCCTGATATATATATATATATATATTTTTTTTTTTTAACTTGTGTCTCACCGTAACGCGGGTAATCTACAACTAAAGGGATCGGCCGTAAGGACCAGCCCGTTCGGCAAGCCTTTCAAAATTGAAATCGCGAACCTTCATACCTGTAATATCGCACGTTAACGTCGTTTCGCCAAAAGTTTTACGTCTTTTTTTTTTTTTTCAAAAGTCAAGTTAGATGCGGTAATTCCCTTAGGAAAAAGTAGTACACTTCGAACATACTATATTTTACTTGTTATACACTCATTTCCGATAATGTTACTAAAAGTACCTTAAAACGATATTAACCGTTAGTTCTTTTATAACAAAATGTCCTTAGTATGCTTGAAGTGCCCTAATAGATAACTTGGAGGAAACTTACCAAGCATTAAAACAGTTTGAGTTTATTTGAAGTTTCTTACAAGTAGGATATCCAAAGACTCGTTCAATGCAATTAAAGCGTATTTGAGAAGTACGCTAGGAAAATGTTCGAAGGGAATGACAATCACGTCAGATTAGCTAGTTTCCCGTCAGAAAGAAAAGTGTTGGACAAAATGATCAACAAATGCACTTACGAAAAGATACTGAATACCTGCTTTATGAAGCATTCAAAGTACTACTCAAGTTACTTTCACTGCATGCGGAGTAGATTGAGTAGAGTAAAAATGCTTAGAAAAGTAGTTGAATTGCTTTTTAACATGTTTACGCGCTGTGCAATTTGTATCGACTTCAGTGTCACCAGGATTATTTCTTTGCGATCAACAGGAGGAAACTTAGCCGCAATTTTATTTTACGGAGTCTCAGTGCGAGTATTATTTTTTGTGCGTCTTACAAGATGGTAAACGTATTTTCAATCAGTACTTTTAAGACGCGGAAAATCCGATATTATGCTGGCAACAAATGCTCACCCTGAACGCATCGTTTTACTTAGTAATATAGTCACTATATTTGCGACTTCAGCGACATATAGGGGGCGCCACCACAAAACAAACATGGCGGCTGGGAACAAGTCACGTCGGCTCGGCCGGGCTGCCTGAACGAGTGGCGCATTCAATTCAACATATTTTCTTTTGTTTAATGCCCTATTTTATATGTATTTGAACTTCGACGGTTAATTGTTGTCCGTGCATATAAACTTGCAGAACATGATTCTGTTTTCCCGGTGCTTTTGTTTTTTACATGTCGAACTTTTGCTTCGGAGATTTCGTTCAAAACTGAAACTATGGGCTTTGGAGAGACGGTAATAGACTCTAATCAGTTTTGATCAACTAAGGAAAGCGGCGATGACTACAGAATTTCTCCATTGAGAGTAATTTTCAGCTAACTCGCATGCCTCGATCATGCGACTTATCTGTCCGTGAAATCGAGCTTTTGTACGTATCCGCGTTTAAGAAACAGCTCCAGTCGTCTGCTCGGTCAACAACACTTGCTCCAAGGAAATTACGAAAATTAAGCAAGCGCTTCTTGAGCCAAGGAGCATGTAAACCCACAAGCGCCCCACTATACAGCTGATAATCGATTTAGGTTTTAAAAGCAATCGAGGTCATTTTGACGAATATGCGGGTAATGTATTATATTACGTACTATGGTCCCACTAAAGCGGTATTGTATATTCTTCGGGTTGAAATATGACCTTAGTTGCCTAGCTATTAGATGAACTGATGAATAAAAGTATATTTGACAGACAGAGAGATACTACTTAAACTCAGCCAAACGGCAGCACTGAGACGAATACGGACAAACTGAAGAGAGTCTTTATCGGAGATCCATGCAGAACCTCTCTGGCACTGAACTTGACTTCGAATCCTGAACGGAGAAATTGAGTATTTTTTGTGGTCGGACAACCTGAGTAATGCTGCTGGCTTCAACGGGGGTATCAGATAAATATTAGAGGTTCAATGAATCATAACGTCGTAACAGCTTCTAACTTTGCGAGACGCGTCCCCCACTTCTTGAAAGCAGACGATTTCCCTCATTAATCGTATGCAGCGAGCCGGCTTTCCGAAAACAAATAATTACGAAATCAGCCCAACTTCTTCGGTGACTTAAAGCGGCTTTTTGGCGAAAAGCAGACAAGTTGAATAGCCAACGCACCGACCGGCGTGGGTGGCTCAACCTTGAAGCTAAAGAATACAACAAAACTCAAGAAAAACAGCTATCGAACCTTCCCATTCACTTGACTGCAACATTGGTGTTTCCTCCAGTGAAACACCTCGTCTGTCGACCTCAGTCCTCTGTTCTACATCCTTATAAAAAAAAAAACTTTTCAGTTACAAAGTAGTCGCTACTTTGAATGTGATTTGAGAGAGACAAGAAACCGAAAAATTTTTTCGTGATTCCTCTCATCCAAGAAATCGGAAGCACGCGCCCGTGTGTTGTGGAGTAAACGGGCTTTCAAGCACGTGATGGGAAGGAAATAATCCATTAAGGTTTCACCACACTAATGAACACTCAGGCAAACTTAAGAAATTTTCGGACCTTCGTCAAATTACATTGCTCGCCACCGCGCCGACGACACGTGTACGCGAAAGCCGCCAGAGACGCGGAGAGGCGCAAAGCGACCTGTTCCGGCTGATTCCCGGTTTTCCCGCTTTGTGGCGTCCGTTTTGCTGCAGTCGCGAATACGGAGTTTAAGTTAAACAAATTTTGAACACAAAGCAAAATAGAAAGTTAGTACCTCGGCACTTGAAACGCCTTCCTCGAGCAGGTTACCCAAACCCTGCACGAAAGATGAATAAACAAAAAGAAAAACACAGTCGTATACGGAGAAGCACTGCTGTCTTTATTAGGGTTGTCCTCTTTTTTTTTTTTTTCCCCCTTATATTGAGGCACGTTCGTAAGGGCACATAACTTTGAAAGAACTTCCTATTTGCATTTTGAGAGCCCATCCTGCTCGTAGCATGTTTTCTGCCTTGTAATCTCCTTCACCTTCACTCAGGGTCGGATTATCCCCGTTCCTTACAGACAGTGTTCCCGAGAGTCCCCGACCGGCGAAAAAGGAGGCATTTTTGCCGTAACGGAGTAAAACATAAAAAAAGGAAAAACTATCTTGCTTCCATCTTCCAGATTCCACTCCCTGTTTCCTTCCGTTCGTTTCGCTGTTGACACTTTCAGTCTGCAATTTCGGCTCTGGCTTATTTACTGTCGTGTGCTGATCCGTTTTCACTTGAAGTTTCAAATCTGTTAAACTTTGAGCTGGGGGTGTGCCGGTTCCTATTCTGGTAAAATATTCCTGCGACAAGTTTTTTTTTTTTTTTTTTTTTTCAAGATTAAAAGATCTAATTGGCATAATGAGTAGAAGATACTAAGAAATATTTTTAAGACAGAGTGCCAAATACCTTGAACCAAATGTATTTGAAAGATACCAAATTACCACCAAAAATGAATTGAAATACAGCACCTTGAGTAGATTATTTAAGATAGACAAAAGTCTGCAGAAAATACATCCGGCGGAGTACCTTCGAAGATGGCGGCCGGTCACTTTCTGTGTGGTACGGGATGTACTGTATTTCTTTTTCTTCATTTGTTGGCGCCTTGAGCACGTTCCTGGTATTAGTATTGGTATTGAGCGTTGACGACTGCGTTTACTGATGTCACCGTTCGTAGCGAATATTACCGTACTATCAAACTTTGAAGAGAAGTATATCCGACTGAGCGCGATCTGTGCATCTACTACACCTATGCCTCAGCTCATAGCCTACTGCCGAAAATACATCCATCGTTTCGTGTACCCGAGCACCGGTTTGCAACAGGAGCGCTTTTTAGTTTTGTGAACGCGAGGAGAGCACACTCAGTCGGGTCAGCCGAATGAGTTTCGACTGTGCGGTTCGGTGCAGCCGCGATCGGGTAAAGTTCACTCGGCTTGAGAAAAATTCGATCTTAAAATATGAGTCATTAAATATCATGTTTCTGTTCTTTTCTTTTTCGTCTTTGTGATATTTTTGTTGTGACCAAGGCCATTTTTGTTCAGGGTTTATATCACGCGCCAATGCATTTGGGATTCACTAGACTGCGCATCGGGCGAAGATGAGAACTTTCTTCATGCAAAAAGGAAAAACAAAATATGTATAAATAAACCGACCTGTACAAAACTGCCTTAAAATAGCTTGATTCAATTCATCTGCACCTCCTGTAGTATTTCACTCAAGACATTGATAACTTAATTTGAATCACGAGTGTAGCTTATCTTAAAACTCCCGCAACTTGAATCTTTTCACCTTACGAGTCCCGCGAATGTGTGACATGTAATGTCACACATTCGCGGCTCTGTGTGAATAATTGATTCAAATTTCTCGCCAATTCTCTTGAGCACAATCGTAAAAAGCGCTCCTTCATTACAGAAAGTTATATGATGCACGATATTCAAGACAACATTAAGCCAGTCACAAACTTTAACTGTTCTTGCATGTTTAGTTAAATTTGGCTACGCATTACTTGCGCAAATAAAATATAATCGCTCTATATTTACTAATCCCATCTATTTGTTAGTAACAGTAAAGTAAAATTTAAAATCCAATTACGTCAGTAATTTGTGCCACAGAAGTTTTTAATAATTAATATTAATATAATGCGATGCTTTGAACAAACTGTTATTTCTGAGTGCTCGGCGCATACCACCACTGACAGAAAATGTGTACCTAAAATAATTAATTAAGAACTCCGGCAATTAATTAACCACGCCGATTCAAAATTCCACGAGAATACAAAAATGTATGACCGTTAAGAAAATGAGGACTTGTGGATCTTCCAACTTCCAAGTACTCGTTTCGAAGTGAATACATTTTTATGCACGCACTTCGAGAGTGCTGTCCATTTGACAGCACTCTCGACGCTATGTATCTTTTGAACCAGCCGTGCTCCGACTTATGACCACGCGACTGTATTCTCCAAGCCTTTGCTAGTGCATAGGACATGCATACCATTCGTGCTTGCCTCAAGGTAGCTAATATTGGTCTAGCGTGCATATCGCTTCCGTGGCATTTTAACGTGAATCACAAAATTACTTCATAAAGCCGCCGATTATCTCGATGCTGATTGGCTAAACCAGATATGGCGCCACGTATGACGTCACACCCAAGCTCGACGCTGACTGGTTTGTTTTCATTTTAAGCAAGATTATTGTGGGTATTTTTTATTCCAGGAACTGCTATCAAGTGCCACGGGTTAAGAGAACAGCTAAACAAACCGATGAAGAGCGCCGACTGTTTAGGCGCCCGTCCTAGAAGAATAGGGCTGAACGAGGGCGTCTAGCTCAACGGGCCAGGCGTGCTGCTAAACGATCACAACCAAGAACCAACGACCGAAGGCGCGACCGCAAGCAGCAACATCGAATTAGACACGCACGACAGTGAAAACCCGGGCCCATCAGCCAAGACAGAGAGTGCCGAGCGAGCCAAGCAAGCATCACGGGAGTAGCGAGATACAGGAACTTTTCACATAAAAAGATGGAAGCCGTTTACAACACCCTGTAATGCCGAATTAGAGCGCAGCTCTTGAGGAGAAAGAGGGAAGGGTACTGAGGGTCACGTGTTCTCGGGGAAGAAGGGTCACGTGACCCCCAGGGAAATTTTTCCGCTAGATTTAGTGGGGAAATTTTTCCACTAGATCTAGCGGGCAAATTTTTCCACTAAATTTAGCGGGGAATTTTACCCATAATGCACCGCGCGGTTACGCCGACGGCGACGCCGCTCAAGCCGTAAACGGCAGCCTAAGAACTGGGCTCTAGAAACAACTGCCGAACTGATATCTATACGCTTTAAAGGGCAACTCCGCGTCTTTTCCAGTAGTGCAAAACTATACAGTTCTCTTTGTTATCATCTACAAAACCCCCATGGCGAATATTACGACGGAATTCCGCCTAGAAGTTCATTAAAATCGCTGTCAAAGTTTGACAAGCACGAATCCGCTGGTTTTGGATGAGACGTGCGGGCCAGACAACACTGCCCGGCTGCATTTCCGCTTCCTCCAAATTACTTCTCCCGGCACGTCCGCGACGTCATCAAGCATGTAGAGCTTCTTTTTTTTCTTTTTCTTTCAATTTTGTTTTCTTTCCCGGGGAGAGCACGGGTGGCGCCAGCGCCGTGAAAGACGTGAGTGACGCGCTCGGCCGGCCCGGCGCTCGACTATTGATACTACTGATAAGCCGATCGCCTCGTTGAGCACCGGCTTGTGTTACATCCCATACTTTTGAACACCAAGTAAAAGGAGGAGAGGGAAGCTGCTTTTGTAAGAATTTTGAGTGACAGCTTAATCTTCTATAATCTTCTGGGAGGAGAATAGCGACGCCTGTGGAAATCCAGGAGGCACAAAGGAGGATCCTGATAAGAAGGGAGCTCCTTCTTCCCTTGTATATCACGTGGGTGTACATGCTTAGTGATGCCGAATATACAATGTTGTCCGGCTTTGCCACCGTTTCGGTTTCGGTTTGTAATCATGGCTAGAGTAAAATTACACGAAAAATATTTTATTTTTCGCGAAACAAAAGATTGGGGATTGTTTTTGAGTGCTTCAAAAAGCAAAATCGGCCACTATCTCAAAATTTTTTAAATTAAGCGGAGTTGCCCTTTAAGCTTCGTAAAGAAGGACCATCAAAAGTTGGAGAGGGTTCCTCTCTCCGGAGACAGCTCCCCGCTTTTTCTAATCTGTCTTAACGGTGCTCTCCCAGTCTATGGACGTTTCTCAATTGCCATATGTTTACGCTGTGGTTATGGGGCATGTGGCGCAACCAGATTGCATTATCTTAAAATAACAACTGGATGTTTGAAGTACAAAGGGAAAGTTAAATTGCGACAAAGACACTTTCGAGCAGAAGACGTTATAGCCATGCGCCTTTTCTTTAGTGGGACCAAACACAAGAAGCAGCCACATCCCAGCCACCCAGAGATTTCCCGTTTCTCTCTTTCTCTTGGTCATAAACAGTACAACGCCGATCACGTGGCCAAAACTAATATTCCGGAAAGCTCCGTGACCCCGGGTTGGGTTTCAAAGCACCGCGGCCCCCTCGCCACGCCTCAGGTAATTTGTGATTCGAGAAGGCTCGCAGGTCAGTCGACCGATGAACACGCGAAACTCTATTCATAACACGGCGTCTAACAGCCTGTCTCATTAAAAAGGTGGCTTACTGTTTTGTGCTTCATTCACGAGCAAGTGCCATGTCGTATTCCGTGTTCGAACTGTCTAATGTTTTCCCTCAATGTTGCATACCCAGGTGATGGAGCGCTGGATCCAGGAGTACGGCAAAGTGTTTGGTCTGTACATGGCCGAGATCCCGTACCTGGTGATAAGCGACGTGGATCTCATCAAGCAGTGCCTGGTCAAAGAGTCCCGGTTCTTTCGGGACAGGTCCCGCCTTGTCCTGAACGTAGAGCCCTTCTCCAGCAGCCTGCTCTGCCTTACAGGTGGGGAGACAAAACGTAGAGTAGTCAGTTTGCAGTAAAAAGAAGCACTTAATGGCGCCATGGACCTATGTTATAGGCGGGGCATCAGACGTGTGGCGCCCACATGCCCGACACGGCTGAACTAGCTGATTTCCAAAGACGTGCTTTTCAAGACCAGCATCTACCCATTTTCTGCCACGAAGCCTGTTTGTTAGAAATAAACATGTAATTATCGAAAAACTTGTGGATGCGTAAAAAGCATAAACCAAATCCTATAGGGACTTGATGAGAACTTCATGAGAACTTTATTCGTATAAACTCCATATAAACTCCATCTGTACTTTATGCGTCTGTACTTACGCCTCGTAAAAATTATTCTCCCGCTGTTTTTTGTATGTTTTTTTTTTGTTGTTGTTTTTCGTTTTTTTTAAATTTCGTAGCGCATTTTTGGGTTGACTGAAATTCGTAACTCTAACCAAAGTCCAATAAAAACAAAATTCCCCGATGTTTAGGACCAGCCTGGTCCCGAAACGTCGGGGACCGAGTTGGTCCCGACAATAACTAGTTTTATCCGATCTTTCGTTGTATAACTTCCACGTAGTAAGGAAATCAAAAAGTATCTGCGTAGCCGAGTCGGTCACGTGTCTGGCTCGCAACCGAAAGATCGGGGCTTTGATCTCGCTCCGCCCAAAATTCTTTGAATTTTTTTCTTTAGCGCAAATTTAATATTAAATCGACCAATCGAAATTCTCCCGTCCTACCGACATCGACACCGACGCCGGCTTTTCAGCGACACGAGCTCCTTAAAGCAATCGTTTTCATAATAATTGGGGTTGTGTGGATATTTATACAGCGTGTAGTTTAGTCTACCATTTCAACGTTGCGACGAGTCTCCCAGCTGTAGATAAGCAATTTAGCCAGTGTAGTACAACCACTAGCCTGGGGTCTTTAACGTGCACCACGCAGTAGTGATACACGACCGCACGCCGGTACGATGCTCATCCAGATTGGAAGGGACAGGGGTGGGGATTGAACCCAGGATCCCTGGGTTTTGCAGCGCGAGCTTTCGCTCCACGTGCTCCGAGCTGGTGTGCGCCGTATTATAAAGAAATAGGTAAATAACTAAATAAAATCATACGCATAAAAGTATGTGTACTATATCCCAAGCTCCCCACGCTCAGAAGCGCTTTCAGATAAAAAAAAAATGTAAAGTCGAAATTGAGTTTTAGATATTTCCTAGAATGCAGCGCTCCACGCAGGGGACGACTGGAAACGGGTAAGAAGCGTCCTGAACCCGAGTTTCAGCGCCTCCAAGATGAAGCTCCTGATGCCCATCATGAGCGCGTGTGCCGATGTCACTGTGCAAGTCATCGACGCCTCGGCCCAGACCGGGGAAGCGGTGGACGTGACGAAGCTCTCTAAGGGCCTCTCCATGGACGTCATCACCAAGTGTGCGCTGGCTTGGCAGGTGCGCCGAAACAAAGCGAGTAGATCGAAGCCTGAAATGGTTTGTAACGGACCTCCCCCCCCCCCCCCCCCACACACACACACACAAATCGAAAAATTGTGTCCGTCCATACCGTCCGTCTGTTCGTGCCTTTTCCGCTAAATGTAGCGGGCGAATTGAACCCACCCGACCTATACATCCGTTACGTTTCTCCCCTAAGCCTAGCGGAGTGATTGACGTGACGTGACTTATGCACATATTCAGTAGCGACTAAATTTAGCGAGGAAATAGATGTTACGTGACACACACCAATTCACTTTCCCCCGCTAAATTTTGCGGGTAACTTCAAGTCAAGTGACCTATGTCACTCGACAGCGCTTACGCGTCTGCTATCTTTCCCTCCTCCCTTCCCTTCTCTCTCGTTCCCAGCTGCCTCCTTCTCACTCGCTCGTCCTTCCCTTTATATCCCTTACGGCGCCTTACAATGTTACCAACATGAGAAAGCCCCATCCCATCAAGCCCATTAACTCCTGTTGCCCTTTCGTAGCATTTGACGGATTGCCTAAGCGAGGTGATTTAAACGAGTTCTCTACTCTAAGAAACGACTAATTAAATGTCTTCTAAACATATGTGAACGAATTCTCCTTGATTACTACATTTCATGCAATATAGGACTCCAAATATAAAGGTATCAGACAATATTTATTTGACGAATAGCGCGAAGGTTTATTTAGATTAGGTTTTTCTCCTTATTTAGATTAGGCTTTTCTGGTGGCAACGCATTGGCAATCTTTGTAAGTACCGCTCAGAATTAACCGTTGTCCTTCATAACCTGGGAAACAATGGTTAGTTTTTAACTTCGTGTAATGCCAGTCCCGGGGGAAAAAAAGAAAGAGCCGTCAACTTGCCGTCGGAACAAGCGGCCACGTGATCTCGTACCGATTATTTGCCACCCGTTTTTCAAACATCCACGCACTGAGGTTGGCAAAGCAGAAGGCACGAGCCGAGTTCCAGGATATGTTAGGGTTCGGCTCTTCCCGTCATAGCAGCGTTTAGACACGAGCCACCCAATGCTCGTCGAGGCATTGAATATTACGATCTTAAATCGAGCGCTCACGCAGCTTTCCTGGCCAGCTATGAGCCGCATTTCATTATCGTAACTATGAGGTGCGTGGCTATATCAACACTACGATCCCCATGACTACTTCATTACGTTGCTCGAATGAGAGATTGAAAAGAAGTCATTTTATCCTTGTAATTGCTTCGCGATAAAGAAACTTCTTGGTCAGCGGTGTTGCGTGCCTCTGGGCGCCGCCATCTTGCTGATGGTGAGGGTAGATTTACCGATAGTCAAGCATTGCTGACACGTACCCACGGTTTCCAGACTGGTGCCCAAACAAAGTGTTTTTCACGCACGGAGGCCGGACAAGCTCTCGAAGCGCGGCTGCTCGCAAACGTCTATACTTGGGTTTAGTGCTGCAAGTAATCTTACATAGTGTGAATCGTTCCAACCTAATGTCGTTGTACGATCCTTTTAACTTCTTAGAGTCATTGCGAAAAATGTGCCTTAATGCACGTCCAAGAAAGTTTGGAATCCTTCACGTGAACTCACTTCGACATAATATATGTTACTCTTGCCTCGAAATGGCATTTCAAACAATATTTTTATCTTAAAAGGATCTATATATGTTCTTAGATTAAAGTAACGGCTGAACAACTAGACTGAGCTAACTAATATGAAAATATATATATGGTGGTTCCGGTGTTCCGGTTCCGGTGTGAAAATATCCGTATTTGTCGAGTCCGTGAGGAAACTTTTTCACGCGAATACAACGGCGGTTGAGCACCTTTTAAATCATTTATGCTTTTATTGTGTAAATCTTATTAAAAGTGAACTTTTCGGTAGACACCTACTTGGTTATAAATTATAACAGAAAACAAAAAAACTCTAACCATCTGAACTTTGAAAACCCAACGTTTCAAGGCCAACTCGGCCCCTTGATACAGCGAACTAGAGGAGATTGCATTGCTTTGAAGCGGCGAGCGAGGAAAGGTTCTGGATGTACGCAGATGCGCTGCGGTAGCATGGGCTGGAGGATCCGAGCGTTCCGCGGGCCTTCGGCGAGTGGGTTTGGCTTGGCGGTTTGGCAGCCCAAACTGGCTCGCGTTCATATATTTCCCCCGCATTTTCTGTCGCTTATGTCGATTGAAATGCAATGCCGAATAGAATACGACTATGGCGATGACGACGAAAACGCCAGTAACGCAACAAATGCTATGCGATGCATGCGCTACTACAGCAGATGCTTTAGTGGCGCTTTTCGTGCCGTCTACATCATGTGCGGCAGCCGCGAGCACTAGCTGAGCTCACTAACCCCTCTCTAGTTCACTTTAACCTTGATCAAGGCCGGGTGTCTCTTTTTGTCATTGTCGTCGTCTTCCAACGTGCCCGTTTTGGAAGTGCCTGGTGTCTGAAGTTACCCGGTGCGATTGTTGCATCTCAAAGTTTAGGGTGTATTTTGTTTCATGATAAAGTGTAGGGTGTATTTTGGCTTTGGTTTTTCTCGACGTTTACCGCGTGGCGCATATTTCTCCAGAGATGTAGCTGGTTGGAAGCATTCCAGCGGGTCGATTGATATTGTCCTGGGTGTTTTGAATATGCCAGGACTCTAACAACTTGCGTTTTTGCCAATTTTTTTCTTTGTCAATGATGATGCTGTTTTTGGACGGGATGGTGTGGTTCTTCTGCTCAGCGTGCTCGGCTAATCCGTTGCTCTGTGTGTCTTTTCAACATCACACCGATGCCTGCGTAGTCGTTCCGGGAAGTTTTTGGTTTGCACAATATACGAGGCGGAGCAGTCACCACAAGAAATCCTGTAATTAAGTTCCTGCGGTGTTTTTTTTTTTTTTTTTTTCTTGTAGGTGACCATTTTTGAAAGACATAAAAGGTGGCTGATGGTCGACTCCGCTCTGTATGTCAGAGTGGGGCCGTGCTTCCCAAGGACGCGAGCAAGTATCTCGCTAATGTCAAAATCTCGCTTCTGTCAAAATCTCGCTTGCGTCGAATCTCGCTTGTGTCCTCGGTGTAAAAAACGCACACACGGTTGGAAGAAGGAACGGCGTCTTCTGTTCTTGGATTGCGAAGTTTTTGTAGGTCTTGTTCAGGTACCAGCGTGCCTATTCGTCTGGCTGTGTCTGTATCAAGGATGGCATTGTCGTCCGACAAAAAACTCTCCGAAAGGACCTGCGTTACAGTGGACGAGATTTGCTGCCTTCTTTACTTTTGTTTAACCAGTACCTTTTTTTCTCTCTCTGGTCTGCATTAAAAACAGAAGTGTGCGGCGGCTAAGGGGGCAGCAGTCTTGGTCACTGTAGCAAACCTCACTATGGAATAAGTTGAGCAGAAATCGATAAACACATTTTCCCCTAATAATAAATCGATAAACACATTTTCCCCTAATAATAATAATTATTATTATGGCAATTTTTTATTATCTTTGAAAAAATACATGTGTAAGCGTGCTGGCACATAAAAGAAAAGATGCTTGTATGTGGGACCAGGCAGCCAACAAAATACCGTGACATATTGAACTCTGGAGAATCAAAACAAACAAACAACAATAATGTAGAAATGTGGGCAACGGATACGCACTAAGTAATGATATAATTATTATTGCGCGCGCGTGAGGCACCATTTTCTTGCATTTTGTTTTACCGCACGAAAGGATGATAAGTTCAGCAAAGACTCTGGCAAGCTGTTGAACATTGAAGGGACATAGTGACGTCTTAACTTTTTCCCATAATTTGTTTGTATCTTAGGGACCTTGAACCTGTCTGTACGCCGCAAGTTTCTTTTTTTTTTAGCTCTCGTTTAAAACTTATACTGCAATAATTATTTGTTATTATCACATATTTATGGAACTGATTAAATGACAAGACTTCTAACGCGTGCATTTTTTCTTCAAGGTTTAGTTTTTCGTACACTGACCTGTGAGAAATATTGTTTACACTATATCTTATGATTCTATTAATTCCCTGTTTTTTTACTGAGAACAATTCCCATGTGTCGTAATTCTATACCGTATAACTGATTATCCTAGAGATCTGAAAATAGCTCTCCGCAAATTTAAGGAACATGCACTTTTTAGCTTGTAAAGCCGATACCACCCGCATTCTCTTAATAATATATTCTGTTTGTTGGTTTCAAAGGAAATGTTGGTCAAATAATTACCTTAAATATTTAATCGAGGAGTCATAAGGTAATGGTCTACACGTGCAAATTTGTTGAGCATGATCATGGAGGTGAAGATATATGTTTGGTACTAGAGTAATTTGTTTATGCGGATTACGAAAACAGACTATTTTAGTTTCATTAACGTTCAAAGAAATGAGATTACTTGAGAACCAGTTCTTTTCGATATTTAGGACTTTCATTTACTCATTTGATATTTATATTTCGACAAAGCTGCTGCCTTTTCTTACTTATGGAATGGAATCGGGCAGTGAATGGATCGACGATACAAGATTATGAGGCTTCAATGACCATGTAAGTTCATCCCATTCTTACGTTTTTGTCGCTAATAAAGGGCAGTCAACACTATTGCGACATATGCAAATTGCAACTGACGCTGTAAGGCTATCACAGTCGTGCTTCTCGCTGCATGAGCGCGCTCGTTTCCGTAAAGCCGACCCGCCATGTAAGCGATTTAGCGTGCGGCAGACGAGCGACGGAGATTTCTCACTGTCACCCGTCGCATCGCTCGGTTTTGTGATTTCTAGAAAACGTCGCTCACCGTCTTGGTCGCTTGCTCCGTCGCTTCCATGCGGTTTGCCTCGTCGCGCAACTGACTGAGCGAAAGCGAAGCGGGTCACCGTCGCTTATCTGGTCGCTCGCCAAATAGCTTACACGCAGTTTATACTCAATTAATTTCCATGCACACACCATTGAACCATTGGCGCCTCGATATTAAGTATAAACCGCATGCAAGCGATTCGGCGAGCAACGGGACAAGCGACGGTGA